TCTATTGGTTAATCAATTGGTCAAATCACAATATGCCATGTGTCCCAATTAAATTGGTTCAGTGCGAAACCCTAAGCCAAATCTTGGAACACAAGAAAATCACACACTATAATCTAATGCAAATTTCATAGTAGAGATACCTTGGTTTAATTTTTTGTGCCCGGATTTTACAATCATGTATTTGAAAGAATCCAATTTTTACCTTGATTTATGAGTTTCTTCTTCCGTATATACAATATCAATCCAATTATTAATGTTCCGACAAGAAAAACTGCAGAGCTGATGAGAATTCCAGGTAGCTTTTCCTTGTTGAACTTGCTCTTTTTATCAATTCCATCTGAAAGATCACAATTAAAACAAAGTTTTCATGCAATTCGGTAAAAAATTTATCATGATGCAGTAACTCTGAATCTAACACCAACTTATTTTAGCCATACTCTGCATAACTGCACATGAAGCAGGACAATCCAGGAAATAACACCATTTGTGGTTTTCATGCTGTTACCATTGGGTAGAAGAACATGTAGTTCGACTTTTACTATGGACCTAGATCTAGGTAAAGCTCAGTGATTCTAACCATGCGGCTTCTAACTGCTGCCCCCATCAAACACCCTTCCAAAAGAAAAACATAAAAAGGAGACGACAAACTCATTTTCCCTTAACCTCCAAGTATATTGTGATATTGTTATTGGCTAGAAAAACAAAAATAAGATGAAATAACAGTCAAAGAGCTACCAAGTTCTGAAGCTGCCATCCGTATATAGAGGTCTTGACCACCACCGGGAGTGAATTGTCTTATGTCAGTGAGGTTACCAAACCAAAGCAAACAGCCAGTTCCTCCCTCCCTGACATCTAAATTTGCATATGCCGTACATGAGCAGTTTTTCAAACATAATCCCTTACATTCCTTGAGGCTCATGCTCTTATCAAACCGTGAGGAAGATGTGTCTGGCAATTTAACACCAGTGTACTTTAGGAAGCCATCTCCATAGCTGCAAGCCAATGGAATCTTTCAAACACACCCATCAGACCAATATCCCAAATTCCAATCTTGTGGAGATTTTGGTACAAATCCCTTCAAGCATGCACATGAGGGAGAGACATTCATATTGCAACTAGTATATGTGCCACACAAGGCATAATTTTGACACTGATCTGCTTGGAATGTAGAGTAAAGTTCCCAACTATGTGTTTGGTGCACCCATGTGAATCTCTGTGCAATGCCTGATGGATTCAGTACGTATCTTGAGAACATGGACCTGTTTAGGAGTCTGTACTCGTAATAGATCTCATTCTTGTCCAACACAAATTCATACCCAAGTATTTGGTTTTCCCGTGTTTGTGGAGGATATGGATATGCTGTAAAATAAATGTCATTCCATGACCCTGCTGTAGCCATTATCTTAGCTCCTTTCATGGTATCAACTTGTGGGAAACCACGACGATCCATCCGTAATGAAAACTCTCCTGGAGCAGGATCTTCTGTGCTCCTCCAAGACGAGACGTACCTATCTAAACCAGTAACTAAGTCCCAACCAAGCTTCATTTCTGGTAGGAATGTGTCACAAGGATAATCAAAACTCTGCCACAAGAATTTATCAGGGTTAGTTTCATTTCCGTCTTTCACAACAAGATTTCCAGAATCCAAGAGTTGTGACACTGGATTCCCTGCAGTTGTTGATGAATTTGATGACCATACAATCCTGTTTGTGCTATTGAGAAGGACTAGAACTCCTTGCTCGGTGACCTTCAAAACTCCTGAAGAATTGCCAAGTGGTGTTTCTCTGTTGGCTACCCATACAACTGCCTCAGTATCAAAAGTGTACCATATTCCCAAGTATCGGCCTTCTGATGCACCAGGGCTAAAGAATCCAAGTTCAAAGCTTCCACCTGCAGAAACTAGAGTTTCACCATCTCTAATATATCTACTTGGAGTGATTATGTCTAGTGTGGTTGTAGTTGAAATTCTTAAGAAGGAGAAAAACAAGAAGCACACAAAAAGGTTCCTCAAGGCTTGCATTGATATTCTGGGACTATATACTTATCCAACGAAATTATGCAGAGGAGGTGGAAGTACCAAAACGTAAAAGTACAATATGTGTTTCTGTACTGATAATAAGTAAAGCCTATATTTGTTGGACTTGGTTTTCTTATTTTACACGGCACCTTGGTTTGGAAAGTTGGTCTCTGTGGAAGAAAGTCATGGACTTTGGGCAATTAGGACATGCAATACAAGGCAATTTCACAAGAGGAAAAAGACTCAACCAAGTTGACAGCTGATAATTGACCACGCGTGTGTGTGTCATCTCCAGTGGTAGATTGCCAAACAAATTTATTGTAGAATTCTCATATAAACCCACATGACAAATACCCAGCAGCCATGAATCTTCACTTTTGGTTAACATATTTGACTTTTGCAACCTCAAAAAGAGCCCAAAATAGCCATTATGCATGCATGTCAAATCTTAAATGGAATTCAAGGATTAGCACAACCCAGCCTCTACTTAAATTCAACTGTGGGAGAAATGGGGTATGCAATGGTAAATATAGTGGTGCACCTTCAATTCATCTTGCGTATGTTACATAACAATACAAATGAGTGACAAGATGCAAAAGCCATTAGAACAATAATAATAAATAAGATCACCTGGGACGGTTCTTCAATATTTACTTTGATTCAGGCGATTAATGCGCCCACCACTTGTTCGATCAAATTCCTGAACCAGACCTGCGTGCATGGACCTATGTTAATATCATCCCAAACACGACATGAGTTTTCCTCAGAGAATCCAGAAAGCACTTCATTGAGAGTTGGGAAAATTGTTACCCATAATCTTCTACTTCCATTGGTTGTTAAAGCGCGTGTGGCGCCAAATATGGCATTTCTTTAGATGAGGGTCCCTCTTGGGTCTCCTCTCTTCGATCGTGTTCTCTAAGAAATGAAATGAAAAGAAACACTATGTTTTCATCTTTTACTGTTATCAGTGTTCATACTAAGATTTGTGCATCAGGAAATAGCTAATTAAAAATTAAAATTAAAAAATTGTTACCCATAATCTTCTACTTCCATTGGTTGTTAAAGCGTGTGTGGCAGAGTAAAATTACTTAAATGGATAAAGTCTCACACATTATTCACAATTCACATTTTCTGGTTGTTAAATATCATTACTTACAGCATACCTTGGGGGAGTAGAACAGAGTAAAATAAATAAAATGAATGGCAAAGCTCCAAACCAACTTCTAATTCAACACATTTTTCTTGCATAACATGAATAATGATAATGTCTCATGTCATTGTCTCCCACCTAAGACTACAAGCATCAAGTCAATCTGCCAAACACATTCCGTGATGACAGACAGAACCATCAACAAAGCATCCAGAACAAAAATCTACCGTGCCTCGATCACTGTAGTGCTGAAATAATTCACTGAAAACGGGCGCTTCCTTGATGGCGATTCAGGGACACTTCGTTCCGTGTAAAAACCAGGCTGCCTTGGTGGAGGCAAAGTAATATCACTGCTCAACATTAGAACCACATATGACATGTTTGGTCTATCTTCTGGTACTCTTTGCACACATAACAGCCCCACATGAAGACACCTTAACACTTCAGATATGTTGCATGAATCATATAACATCGTATCTATCAATTCCAGTTGTTTATCTTGAATCCATAATGTCCATGCCTTGAACAAATTGAAAAATAAATGAGATGTTAGTAGGACGACATGTAATTAGAGCATTGCTACATTCTGTCTATACTGGTATATGGCATGTCATTGGAGAAACTGCTTAGAACATTGCACTGTCTAATTCGCTAGTCTTTTCAAAGTAAAATGATGGTACTTAATGCTTTATACTCACATGTCCAAGAAGGTTAAGGTGGTGATCTGGATGTGAAAATCCCCTGTTCTTTTTCCTACTCAAGATCTCTAGCAGTATAACTCCAAAGCTAAAGACATCAGATTTCATTGAGAAAATTCCATCTACTGCATATTCGGGAGACATGTAACCACTGCACAATCAAGTTTCAATCAGTAAGAATTTCAAAAAAAAACAACACAATGTAAAATGTAAACCATAGAAAATATACTTACTACGTTCCAACCACTCTTTTTGTATTACCCCGACTTTGATCACTACCAAATGTTTTAGCGAGGCCGAAGTCTGCAATCTTAGGGTTCATATCATTATCAAGCAGGATATTGCTAGCTTTCAAATCTCTATGGATAATCCTTAATCTAGAGTCTTGGTGAAGATAAACAAGCCCTCTAGCAATTCCACCAATAATGTGGAAGCACGTAGGCCAGTTGAGTAATTTTTGTCCCTCTTGATCTGAAGAAAATTTCAGGCTGTTAACTCAATGCACCATTGAATCCTTGTAGAATAAGATTAAAGGTGAAGGACAGTATGACTTAAAAGCCATATGGTTGGCATCAGAGAGGACCATACCAAAAATAAAGAAGTCCAAGCTTTTGTTGGGCATGAATTCATATATCAAGATTTTTTCATCTTCTTGAACGCAACAACCCAAGAGCTTTACAAGATTGCGATGCTGAAGTCTTGCTATCAGTATAACTTCATTTTTAAACTCTATAATTCCTTGTCCGGAATTCTTCGAAAGCCTTTTCACTGCAATTTCTTTCCCTCCGATCAATATACCCTACGGATCATCATTTATAAAGTCTTAAAACTTGTATCACAGATTAGCTCACTTTAGTTGCATAAATTTATGTTACCTTGTACACAGGTCCAAAACCACCTTCTCCCAGCTTGTTGCTGCTTGAAAAGTCATTGGTGGCTTTAGCTACGGTGCTCAAATCAAATAGTGGTGTTAACTCCATGTCTTCCCTGTCTTCTCCAAGGTAATCTTTTGTGCAATCTATGCTTCTAACTCCTGAAATGACAAGGAGATCTCCTCAGCATGGATAAATAGATGTGTAAGAATTATATTGGTTAATCAATTGGTCAAATCAC